CGCCCCTTCCCAAAATTACTTCAACGGAAGGTTTCCAGATGGATATGCGGAGCAAATCCATCTGGCGGAGTCAGGTTATCTTTTTCTGTCTATAAAACATAATGTTGATGCGTGAACCCTTTTTTTTTACGTAGTTTAAAAAATATATAATTTAAAAGATGGACAAAAATTAAAAAAAAGAGGAGAAATCTTAAGATAAATCTTAAGTATAAATGTTTTTCATACTTGCTAGGTGATTAAAATGCTTACCAATGGAGATGAGCCAAACCAGTGCGATCTTGGCCAGCGCTTTGGCTCTGGATTTGTATTGGCTGTGTTGGATAGGCCTCTTGATGGCAATGTAGCGATCCAGTGAGATGGCACATAGGTGCATGATGGACGCCGTAGAGAAGAGCACGTCGAGGAAGAGCCATATGGGGCAGAGGAAATCTGGAAGGGGCCATCTAGAGTCTGAAAGGAAGATGATATGAAGGCTAATTTGACATGATCCATTTGCTTGTACAGCAAACATCACTGGTTTTATTGTGCCTTTAAATTTGGCAACAATAATAATGAGCTTGTTGGGTTTTCTCGTTTTTTTTTTTTTCCCTCCCCAGAAAAACTTTTCACTTATTATGAAAGATTCGATACTGCTGAAGAAATTATAGTATCACCCCAGTAAAAAAATTGATGTTTGTTTATGCTTCTGAGGAATGCCTTTACTGGAAACTGAGGGCTCACTGACTGTTTATGGAGCTAAAAGTTTTTCATGTAGATTGTGGCTTAGACTCTGCTCAACAGTAGTGTTTATTTTGACTTCCAGGCGTAAAACTGGCAAGAAATTTGTTCTGGCTTTTGTCTCGCAGTCCATTAACTTTACAAAAGACTGTTTGTGGAAATATTTCTTATTCTTTTCTTTTTATGCTCATGTCTACTTTACTTATATCAAGCGGTGGTGGTGGTGGGGTGTTCAGCTTTTCAGTGTTGGTCAGTTTGAAAGGATTTCATTGTCGATTGCTGATCTCTTGCTCTGCTGCAGTGGACTCTGTCTGCTGGTTTGTGAAATGTTGATTAAATTTGTCATGAGAATCAACAGATTGAGCTGTTAAATCAGCAAGCTAGATGGGAGCTTTTCATTTTGTTAAACTAAATTAGGAATGTCCAAATCATTAAAGTCTGGCATAATGCAGGATTTGATCCTTTTGTTTTTGAAGGCGGCTGCTTAGTTCTAGTCAGAAAGTATTTAATCTTCAACTCTGTTGATTTTAATCTTACTAGCTCTCCTTCCTTGTGATCTTTAAGTTTTTTAAATGTTTTTCTTAGAGATAGACTGGTAACATTCGCTCGCTTTGTGATTTTGTAGTTCTTGTTGCGAATCAGAGTGTTTTTATGCCAATAGAAAACTATTAAGTCTCATGATGCATTGACGCTATACCTCAAGAAAATTCCTCCTCAGACATAAAGTTGTTAGCACCAAATTGCCAGAGAGGCCATGTTTTTAACCAGAATTAAATCAAAACCTTCTCTTTAAATGTTTCACACTCGGCTCTTTCATCTTGGGGAAAAATGTGTTTTTTCAAAGGAAGTTAAAATGGAGATGGCAAAAATTTGCTACTTTCCTCCATTTACTGTAGTGAAGCTTATTATAAGGATTACATATTTTAGACACGTCCAAAATACGCCTGTATAGTTTAATAAAGTCGGATTGTGTTTATTTAAGTCGGTTAAATATAACCGAACGGCTCTGTAAATAAATTGTTTTGGTATTTTGGTTCCCACTGGTAACCACGACGACTCTCCCGTTTGGATCTGCTTTTAGAAAGAGTTTGGAACGGTTTATGGTCAGCACAAATGTGAAGAACATTTCTGGAATACATGTCTGGATTTATATCGCACTTACACACAAAGTATCTGTCCACCTGTTTATTTTTACCTCTTGGCCGGCGTTGCTTACAGCATTGTTTAAATATTCTAAAGGCATCCCATCCCGGCGTGTTCCACCCACCGAAAACAGGCTTGGATCGGCAGTAATTCTTCTGAGATATTTATATTTGTAAAAGATGTTATTTTTTTTACTAACAGCAGCTCATCCCTGCTTCTGATGGCACAGCGTCCTGAGCTGAGGGTCTAACCTCCCCCTGCTTTGGTACGAGTTGCTGATCCTCCTTCTAGCAGCTTCACATTGTTCAGACGGCTCTGCTATGCCTCACTTCATCGTCATGTACACAGTATATGTCCCTGTTTATGTCTCCTTGACCTCCTCCTGCACACTTCAGCACTCAGAGCTGCATCTGCTCTGAATGGAGGCTAAAGACAGCTGTTCAGGTCTATAAAGGGCTTTAACTGCGATGCTAAAGGTAAAATAAAGTTAGTTGTCCTTTCAACTTCACTTATCACTTTATTTAAAAAAGGTTTTTTGTGTGCTGAAGTTTTTTTGTATCCCCAGTTTTTATGCGTTTCCTTAATTTCATCAAATCTCAAACCTTTTTTTTTCTTCTTCTAAATGCAGTTGAGATTAATTTTTAACAAAAATGTACATGACTATAAATTAAATTTAAGGAAGTTTATGATGGAGACGATCTAATGAAGGCCAGGTCTGTACGGAGGCAGACGCATCCAGTTTTTTGATGGAGAAAACCTTGTTTCATTGTCTTCCACTTATGTGCCTGTGTGAGACGCATAATTAGTATCTGGCTCATTAGCCTCCTATTGAATTAATAAAGAACATCCTCTCCGCTGTGCTTTCGCCCTGAATTGAGGTGTTGCCTTGGAAGACTGTATATTTTAATGGAAGATATTGTTTTACTTTCGTATTTTTTTCTTCATAGGATTTTTCAACAATAATTTGCTAGATAACGTCTCAGTCTATATAATTTGGTTGTATTTGATCACCCTAGGATTAGAATTTTTTTTTCCTTATAAAACATTTCTAACAATATGAAATAATAGATCCTCTTGTTATACTCACTGTAAAGAACAGTGATGAGTGCAATAGGCATCACTAGAAGTCCCACCAGCAGGTCAGCGACGGCAAGCGACATCAAAAAGTAGTTGGTGGCGTTCTGCAGCTTTCTTTCCAACGACACAGCAAGAATGACCAGTATGTTTCCCCCGATGGTGGGGATGATGACCATTACGATGAGCAGGGCGGCCCATCTCAGCTCAGTCTCAGGCGCCTGGCCGGGAGGTGAGCTGGCGTTGACCGACTGAGACATGTTGCTGCTGATACCACGGCGGTCCTGAGCGTGGGCGGCGGCTCTGATCTCTCTGCTTTCAGACACTCGGTCAGCATGGTCACTGGGTCCCACAAGCAAAGGTGCAGGGTCTGCTGGGGCCGCTCAGGGTCGGTGCACGAGACGCATCGTCCTTTGAGCAGAATGGAAAGTCAATAAAACGTCTGAAAGATCTGAAGTGTGAAGTTAGCAGGGCAGCTGCGGCGAACTCCGGTGCTGGAATAATCCCATCACGAGCAGATCTTTCACAGCAAGACGTTTACAGAGGCCCTCACTTTCCCACGCAGCAGATTCTCCTGTCGGCCACTTAGAAAAAAAGACAAAAGTTTTATCTTTTGTCCTCTGATCTATCCTAATGTTTTTATGAAACTGAGGCTTTTAGGTTGTTTCTGTGCAGAAAGATATTGCTGAGTTGGCATTACATCTAATCTGTCAGCATCTTTTACAATATATTCAGGTTCTAAAAAAGCCCGTTGATGCTTGTTCAAAAAAATGAACTTTTTTTCATCTTGGAGATATTGCTCAATATAATGCTCTTTAAGCTTTCATACCTTCTTCCCGTAGTGGCAATTGATGAGCTTTTGCATTTCAGTCCTTTAAATATCCTCCCAACCTGCTCTGGAAAATAGTGGAACTTGTTGCCAAATGCATTTCAGTCTGTATATTCCTCCACAGCTTTTATCGCCTCCCTTTGACTCCGTTTTCCACATAAGATTGAACCCGACTGGCCCGCCGCAGTAGTTAAATCCTTCCCAGACTGTAGCGATCCGTGATGCGGACTTGGCTTTCCTTCCACACGTTGGAAGAAACTCCAGGCTCGCTCTGCATCACCTAAAGCGATCACAGGTTTAAAACTTTCAGATGTCACGGCCCCACTGCCTCCCTCTCTCGCTGGTTCTGGTTCGCAGTGTGTAATCGGCTCGCACTCTCTCCTGTCTCATTCGCCGTCTCACCCCTGCCTCCCCACCCTCCCCTTCATCTCGCGAGCCAGACTCTATACGAAACAGATGAATGTCTTCTCGCTGGCCACATGCCAGTGGTTCAGGGAGGTAATTTCCCTCAACGCAGCCGTCCCACTGTTTATATTTGCCACTCTATCTCCTCTCCCCCATTTGAAACGAGCAGTGACCAGGGGTGGGGGAGCAGTGGTCTGCATGGAGGAACCTTTTTCTGTTGTGGTTTTACTGTAAAGCCTTTTTTTTTTTCTTTCATTCTTTCCAGTGAACTTAAGTCTTCAAGCCCTGAGAGTCAGATCCAGTCATACATGATGAGGGACACAGAATATGGATTTCTAAAGATGTGATATTTCAAAGGGGAAAAAAAGGCAATTTGTTAAAAATTAAGAACATTCTTATAAATCTTAATATATTTTGTTTCCACCTTTTAAGCACACACTTTACAAAGAGATTCAAGAAAAAAAATATTAGTCTAAATCAATATAAATTAAATTAAGATGCCTTTTAAAATCTATTAACCAATAGTCAGATAATTGTTCAAATATTTTTGTGCTTTTTTTGTAAATGATCATTACTATTATTATTATTACAAGCCATACCGGAGCAAATTGTAAAATTGTTAGTTTGTTAGTTGTTGTTATATTGGCACACTACCCATACTGTATCCATCCTTTTTTTAATAATTATTTTTTTCACTTCTTTTAGATATGTAGGTAGTTAGATACAGGGTTCCCGCGGGTCCTTAAAAAGTCTTAAAAGGCATTGAATTCTTCAAAATAAAACTAAGGCCCTAATTGGTATTAAAATGTCTTAAATCAGTCTTTCGTAGGTCTTAATTTTTAAAACATCATAAATAGGATTATTTTTATTACAATCTATTTTTGTAATCTAAATTACAATTTATTCAAAAAATTTATTTAAAAAAAATAACGACTCGCCATTATTGGTTCCGTCCCGATAGCGGAACCAATAAAAGCGTTGTTGCGGACGGGACATTTGGGAGATGCGCCATTTACTTTTTGTCTGGAAAATATGAGCAAGTGTAAATTTAACAAAAATTGATTATCCAGCCAAGAGTTTTCTCCATGGCTAAAACCAGGGAACATACATGAGGCTCAGTGCATTTTGTGCAAGAAGTTATTCAAGCTCAGAACGATGGGAATTAAGGCAGTGGAGTCGCACATGCGAAGCGCGAAACACAAAGCGTCAAAATGGAGTTACAGAGAAACAGCCGGTATTTCTCAGTTTAGTTCCACCCTTGTCTCTGCAACGCCTCCACTTATCACCAAATCAAACATACTAAGAAAACCATACAAAGAAAAATAGCTGCAAAAAAGACTTAGCACTGGTTATGTTGTGGCTTTAAAACTGATTTGTTTTGTTCCCTGCTAAAACAAAGTTTGTGAATTCAGTTAAATAATTGTTAAAATATATCTGTCATTTGTGTGTTTTTAGTTTTCTTCCTGTATGGGAAGTTTTTCAAAATATGAAACATTAGTGCAGTGGTTTATGTTAAAATAAACATTTGAGTTTAGTTGTCGCAAGCAGGTTTTTCATGTTTCTTGTGAAAAAACATATAAAATAGGATAAAAAAAATGAAATTAGATTTAAAAAATAAATCAATAAAAATAATAAACATTCAATCCTTAAAGAGGTATTAAACTGTCTAATGGAGGCCGGGACAAAAGAACTTCTGTATCTCTTTTGACTTCCTGGACACGGCTGAAACCTTAATTAAATCCAAATGTCAACAAGGAAAGCCTGCCTGTTTTATTGACCGTCTATTACGGCCCAGGTTCTTCGTTGTGTATTTAGATGAGTGTTTCTAATGGACACAAGCAGGGAAATTAGATCTGCTCTCTAACAGTTTGTCCCACAAACTGTTACAGATCCTTTATAGACCCTCTATTCCTGATCTGTTTAGTTGACCTCTAAACACGCTTCACTAAATAAAAAAAAAAATTCTGTTTGCGTTGCAGATCTTTGTGAGGTACTCTTTCAGTTTTCATTTGTTTTGAACCTTTCATCAGTTCTTAGTAACATTCAGCAGGTACCATATTGTTACAGAAGCTTGTTTACATGTATTTGGATTTACATCATTGAACTAGTTTCCTTATAATTCTTCCCCTTCTAATTATTGCTCTCCCTGTCTGTTTCTCATCAGGACTCCAGAGCAGTGCCCCAGTGTGGTGTCTCTTCTGTCAGAGAGCTACAATCCTCACGTGCGCTGTGGGGCTGCCATGGCTCTGGGCATCTGTTGTGCCGGGACAGGCAACAAAGTAAGCACATCTTCCTGAAATCGCTGTTTATTTAACTTGAACCTTCACATCCTCATCATCCGATCTCGTTAGCTGCTGTTTATTAAAACTTTTCAGGTTCAAAACACTGGTAAGGCATCATTGTTTAATTTGAATAAGCTCATTTTTGGGAGTTAGTCCTGTTCATTTTTACTCCACCAGTGCAACACTTCCTCCAAGCCTTCCTTCTGTTTCCATTCCATCTTTCTTTCCTCCTGGCAAACCTTGTGCGTCACTGATGTGAAGATAATCTACGCTGAATGAAGGCTTCATTTAAGCAGCCCGTTGATGGCTCATTTATGAAAATTATGCAACAGAAGATTTCAGCCTCCACTCTCCCTGTGAGCCCTGCAGAAGACGAACCAACCGACACTTTCTGATGGGCTTTTACATTTGTTCTGTACTGCTGAGTTAATGTTCAGCCAGTAAAACAAGGTGTTAAATAATGATTTTTTTTTTTTTTGATTAAATTACATTTCTTTGAGGTTTAATAAAGGGCCAGCTAAGATTGTGAGAAGTTTAGTGTAGATTAGCAGTTAAAAAGTGATCAGAGACAGCTGGGTTTAACAGTGTGTGCGTTGGATTTTACAGTGGATCAGATGGGTTTTGTTTTTTGTCAGATATTGAGAAAATTACTCTATTAATTTTAGTATCTTGGAAAGGTAATATGCTAATGACGCCACCTCTGTATTTAAAAAATTAAATAAAAATGCTGATTTTTGAGCCATTAAAAGACTTTTAAACAATCGTCAGCTTGCCGTGCAGATTGGAGGGAAATATTTCATTGTTTTTATTCTCTGTCACAAGATACTGTTTTTATACATTTCTATAAATAAGGAAATTATTTAGTGGTTAAATGGGTTTAACCCTGAACCGGTTGTTTATAAGCTTCTAAATAGGTTTTTAAAATACCAAAGTTTAATGTTGTTTAAAGGAACTAAAACTGAAGCAAACAGCCCATCAGTGCACCTCGATTAATGCGTTCTTTAGCACCCAACATGGGTTGCTGACAAGCTAAGACCGTAAATGACTTTAATCCCCCATAACACAGCACGGGCAGGATGTGGTCGACAAGTGCTGGCTTTACTCTCTGACTTATCGTCCCACAGCACGGCCGTCTCAGCCAGTTGGACCCAGAGCGCCGATGAAACGTAGTTTATTTTACCTCCACTGTCATCATCCTGGTTTGTTTGTCTTTCCTCCGTGGGCCCAACACCTCCCTCTGAGCCTGCTGGTGTTAGTTACAGCCATGACTGCTCAAGAGAAATAAAAGCTACAATGATGGACTGGCTTCAGAGCAGAGGCGAGTGCAGGGATAAAGGAAGACGTTGTCCTCCCTCATTCACTCCCTCCTTCACAGCTCTCTTGGGAAGAGAGTAATTGTTAACCCTGTTGTCCAGGGAAACCAGATATGGATGACACTAATGTCATTAATTTGTGGGGTCTGTTCGCCTCTGCTGATAATGTCTTTTCCTGTATTTAACCAAACAAAAGGGCCACTGTTGAAGCGACCTGTTGGTCGGGAAATAACAGGATTGAAAACATATTTACAGTCAAAACGAAATATGTAATTCTTTAATTGTTTTACGCTGCAGACGAACTGGTGTCCTGCTAAAGGGTGAATAAAAACCACTGTTTTGACTGTTAAAAGGTGAGATTTATACATGAAGGCAACACATTTTTGCTTAAAAAATTATTATACCTATTTTTTTTTATAAGAATCTGCAAATAAAATGCTTTTTGATTTACTTTCAAACCCTGGATTAGGAAAGGGAAACCAATAAAAACCAGAAAAGATCCATATATTATTATTGAAAAACAAAGGAATTTCAAAGTCTTCACCAGTGTTGAAAATTCCTGTTAGATTGTAAATGTTTGCTCTTTCAAGATGGAGTCTAAAAAAAGACTTTTGCACAGCTGAGTTCTTAATGCTCACTAATGTTTAAGATTTTCTGTCTGTTGATGGCAGTGATCTTTAAGGGCTAAATCATAAGCTGTCTAAGGTTATATTAGTCAACCCTCTAAGGTTATATTAGTCAACCCTCACTGTACTGGCTGTCGCTCGGCCACCATGTTTTTCTGCACAGAGCTGTCAACATAGTTACAATTTTTCCTAAGTGCCCGGTGTTTAAATTTTGTCCACACACACGTTGTTGAGAGATGTGGAAACCGAAGTGAGGTTATTTGGCTGCTTTGGCTGTGCTGAGATGTTGAGCATAAAGAAGTCTTAAGAACAATCGGGGGATCCCGCCTTTAGGTCTGCTCTGGTTTTCAGTCTGGATGTGTCGGTCTGCCTTCAAATACAGTAACGTGTTTCAGGTATTCGGTTAATTTGGTCTGAAGTCGGACACAGAACATATTGATAATAGAATTACATCAAATTACAATCAAATAACCCTTTATTTGCCTCAAATAACCCTTTATAGCAGCAGTCCCCATCCACCGGGCCATGGACCGGTACCGGTCCATGG